AAAAAAAAAACGTTTGAAATGTATTTAGGAGGTTTTAGGGATTACACAAAGGAAATTTGAGATTTTTGAGATGACGAAAAGTATCTTTAATATTGTTATGAAAATTACTTTGCACACGGACTATTCAAAACAAATACTCAATATATTAATGGACAAAACTTTATTTTATTTTATTAAAAATACTTCACTAAGAAATATGACTTTTTGTATGTGAAACACTTGTAATATTAACTGAAAAACTGCCAAATTTCATGATGATATACCCAATATATAGAGAGTTAAAAGGATTAAATTCATGTCAACTTTAAATGAGTACAAAAGGTCACGTGAGCCGGTCAAATTGACTGACCTCATGTTGGGAGAGTTAAGTATTAAATAAAATAGTATCTACCTTCTATCCTAGGAGCATTAGAAATGATAATAAAGCTTTGGAAAAAAAAAGTTAAGAAAACAGAAATAGAACAATTCTCAAGTACAAAATGCATTATACATTATTATAATGGTGAACTGGTGTATAATTTATATTGCTCCACATCCATAACAACAAGTTTTAAGCACTGGAACAGTGTTACCTTAATACTTTTAAAATTGAATAGGTAGATAGACCATCTATCATCTCAACATAAAGTTGTTGGGTTTTTTCTTTAAGCAGAAATCTGTATTTCATTAGTGTTAATTTTAACAAAATGTTCAGAATTATTATAAATGTGTTTCTAAAACCCAAGCCAGTTGAAGAACAGAACTTTACACAATGCATTGCAATTACACTAATCCCATGACCACTTCTCGGTGATTTTAAAAGTCTAATCAGCAGTAATTTGTTAAATACTGAATACAGATTTATATGTATTTTATATTAATATCTGATACAGACAATTATAACTATATACTTAATGTCTGGATAAATACCTTTAATTAACATAACAAGTCTTAGAAAGAAAACTATAAACTTCTAGCTTTTACCTTTGTGGTTACTTACTAAAACAGACCATATACACGTTATGGTAAAAGTAATGAACAAGTATATGGTCACAGGAAAATAAATGTCTTTACAGCATCGTATAAGATGCACGTTTAAAATCACTACATAATTATAAGTTTTACATTCAATTCTTTTATTGAAACTACAGTTTCACAGCATATGCACATTGGCAATGTGCAGATTGCATTTTAAATGCAGTGATTGGATTTTAAGAAGGACTCTCTTGACCAGTTTGCGAGAAAAACTTTATTCCTAGCTACAATATAACATACATAGTGCTATGACAATGAGATACAAACTTTAAGCAACATTACATTTACATAATACATTTTCAATAAAATATTCAATACTTAAAACAGTCTTCATTCATTCATCACATATTTGTACAAAAATACTTGTAAAATTTTAACTTGACACTTTATAAAACTCACCAATATTTGGATGGTCAAGCACCTTCATTATTCGAACCTCTCTAAACAGCTATTAAAGAAAAATGAACATCTGTTAATACACTCACTAAAAGTTAATATTTTCCAACACTGAAAATGTATTTCCAAAAACTATTTAACTCCTCTCATATAACAGCTTTCCTAAATTTGTGCTGCCCTATGTATGTACAATTTTCACTCACCACTATCCTTGAATACCCACCTAACATCACATGTCTACATGTGATATAGCTGTGTTATAGCATGCAAATAAGCTTGCGACAACCCTACACCAATAGGAGTGCAACACACCCATCTAGCACAGCTGACTCCCTCTATACCGTAGTGTTCAATCACCACATTAGGATTAGGCAAAAAACGATGCATTGGGAGTGTGAAGTTTGAGTGGAGGTATCTTATCAGAAATACATTTTCAAAGTTGGAAAATGTTAACTTGCAATACAATAACTTAGCTCCACTCACATAAAGCTAAAATCCCACACTGAAACAGTGGAAGACTTGTGCAAAATTTAACTAGATGAGTATTCCTCAGAAGACACCTGAAGAGCCCATGGAGTGTGATACCCTAATATGTAGGGTCACACTTGTGGAAGACCTCACCTCATTTGTACCAGGTATACTCTTCACCCACTGTAAAGATACGTATTGCTAATTCAAGTGGAAAAGATGCAAGTCCAACAGTAGTTAGATATGCAAAATGGTGTAGAGTGGCGAGTGCATCAAAACATATTTGATGGATCAACTCCAGTTCAACACCATACAACATCAGATATTTGTCTTCTGTTCCATAGTAGAAGGAGGGTCCCAACCAATTTCATCTCAAGAAAGGAAGCAGAAGGGAAAAGCAACTTCCATTCCAACAGCCCAGGCAGGGCACATGTGCATACCCAGTACACAATCAACACCAGGCCACCCAAGAGCTCAACATCCAGGCAATGGTAAGAAGAGGAAATGCAAATGTAGTGAGTCATCTCCAGTTCAAAACCAGGTGGTGTCAGGTTTTTTGTCTGGTGTTTGGTAGGAGAAGAACCTACCTACCAACCACACATGTGAGGACTTATGTTGGCTGGCCCTACACCAATCCAACACTAGACCACCCAGGAACTGACATCCAGGTGGTGGTAGGATGAGGAAAGCCAGCTGGAGGGGTGAACTGCATGTGGAATCGAGTATTTGTCTTCCAGACCTCGGTAGGAGGAGAGTACTCCCTATCTACACCAACAGAACACCACCGCCCTTCTCTGAACTGGGTGGAAGTGTTCATACTGAGAAGGAAGCCTCCATGGTCCACTACCGCAGTGGCTTGGAACTGGTAATTGGTGCAAATGGAGGAAGGGTAAAGGAATGAAGGGCAACATTGAGATTCTAAGCTGGTAGGACAACTTAATGGGGTGGATGAAGAAAGCACATGAAAGGAAGGAATACATAAGAAGCAAGAAAAGCTGCTCTCTAGTCAACAATGGTAGAAATGTTTAAAACATTTTCAAAGAGCCAAGTTAAAAAAGTCAGAAAAAATGGGGAATATTTGGCTGGGAAAGGAAGAAGTCATAATGCAAAGACCAGCATTAGAAAAATTATGATGGTAAACAAGCAAATATGAGAAATAAGTAAGGCTACATGCACAGAGAGTCTGGAGCATTTTGTAAGGGACTGGACAAAATCCATATAGGAAGATGAAGTGTGGATATGGCTGGAGGAGCAAGGGAAAAATGAGGTTGCTAGAGGAAAAATTGGGAAGAGGAATCAGCATGGAGAAGGTTCAAAAGTGAAAGCCAGGGCTGTAATGGCCAGAATGGAAGGATGAGAAGAACTTGATATGGAGTGGTTTAAATAAGAGAGAGGACACAAGAAAAAGATGGTTAGGAGGGTAGGCATACAGATAAAGATTGGACCAATCTTGACTGAATGCATACACAGCAAAAGCTGAAAGATGTGGAACAGGAGACCAGAACGGAGGTAGTTAGATATTGATAAGGGTGGCTAAGGCATCCAGAAGGGGGGATACTCAGCTGGGAGCATAACCACTGGAACACCTGAGGAACAAGAGACCACTCCATCTGTAAAATCCAGTTGCCCTCTCGACGGTTGATATAAGAGACAACAATCAAATTGTCAGAAAGGATCATGCCAAGGTACTCCCATACCTCAGGAAAGAAAGGATCCAGTGCCCAATGAACAGCCAGAACTTCCAAACAATTGATGTGTAGAGTCATAATGACTACAGTCTAATGATTGAAAGTCTCCTGAGAATCCTAAAAGCCCCCCATCCTGTCAGAGATGCATCTGTAAAGAGATGAAGATTGGGCCAAGGAAGAGGAATGCCAGCCATGGTATTATTTCTGTCGAGCCACCAGACAAAGTTGACTTGTAGGATGGAAGGTTCCATTGATCATGCAATACCCACTGAAAACAATGCATGTGTGCCTGACCCCAAGGGACGAGGGATTCCATGGAGGCCCAGGTCCCCAAAAGAGAGAGAGAACAAACTCATGTGCAGGAAGAGAAGGAGAAGTCCTGGCTTTTGATACCATGTGCTCCAATACTCTTAAGTGCTGAGAAGAAGGCTGGACCTTGTTGAGGCAGGAGTTGAAAAACACTGTCAGATGAATAAGATACTGAGTGTGGGTGAGATGTGACATCTGAAATTTGATAAGCCACCCAAAATGAGCCACCTTCTGAAGGAGGAGATGGGTATGGTCATGAGAGGGTTGCTAGGAAAGAGCCAAAAGGATTCAGTCGTTCATGTAATGGAGAAACAGCAGTCCCAAGTTATAAATATGATGGGCAATGACTCTGCCTAGATGATAGAAGACGTACGGAGCTAACCTCAGATGGAATGGTAGAGCACTGAACTAAAACATGCAACTCCCATGAATAAATAGAAGGTAACATATGGATACAGGAGAAATAGAGATATGAAAGTAAGCATTTGACACATCATCCTTGGTCATTCAAAACCCTGGAATGAATGACCATCTGAGGTTGAAAAAAGACTCCATGGTGAAATGAGAGAGGTCATTGAAGCGATTAAAGTTCTAGATATTGATAACTGGACACCAATCCTATTTTCTTGGGGACAACAAACAGGCAGGAATATAATCCAGGAAGATGGAGAAACACCTGTTTGATAATGTCCTTCTTCAAGAGATCCAAAACCACCTTGGAAAGACACTGGTAAAAAAAGTGAATCCTGAGGAGAAGGGAAAGAAATGGGAACTGGAGATAATGGAGGAGGAGTAGTAAAAACGAAGAATCATATATTCCACCAACACCTGAAGAACCCAACAATTTGCAGCAAAAGGGCACTACGGATGAGAAAATCTGGCTAACCATGCCCCCATTGGGTAAGAACTCAAGGGGTAGTCTCTGATGGTACTGACATATGAAAAGGAGACGATGGGAGATCAGAAGTAGCTAAAACATGGGAAGTTGTTACTGGGAGAGGAGAAGAAGCTGGAGGTCAAGAAATAGGAATAAGAGGAGGTTGAAAAAAATGAGAAACAAGAGAAGAAATGGAGGAATATTGGCATGCCACCTCCACATGAGTCTCTGAAGTATCACAGACATCTCCAAAAACAGAATGGCACAGAAAAAGAGCCAGACAAAGGTCATGCAAATAAGAAGCAGACAAATGCCCACTTGACAAAAAGGTGGACCTATTAAGAAAATATCAACAACAAATCAACCATGTATGGAGGGACAAAGCTGAAGAAGATAAAAATGCCAATATGGAAAAAAAGAAGGAAATGTGTAAACACCAAAAATTCCTCAGGGGAACAGTAGATAGTTTCAGAGAAGAGATGAAAGGTAACACAGAAGAATCATTATGGTAAGACAAAGGCAAGAGAACTGGGTAGGGGAAAAATGAAGGGTAGCAGAAGAATCAGAGCCCCATGCCTGAATCAGTGATTCCAAGGTCTGAGAACCAAGGAAAGGAAACTCAGTCCTATGGTAAACCAAAGCATGTGTGTCTGCCAAATGTGAGAGTCTAGGAATGGTGGCACCAGTATGCAGTTGGGAAAAAACTGATCAGCATGGACTTGTATATCTGGGGAGAGAGAGAAAAACTAAATAATTACATGTTGGGCCAGAATGAAGAAGGGAGGGGGAAGGATCATATGAAACAGGGGTAAGGAACAAAAGGTAACAAACCTGAGAGATCATGTCGAGAAAAGCCAAAGAAGGATGAGGGAGATCCAGCAAAGTAGACTGAGAAGGACCTACAAAAGCAATAAGTGGAAAAAGGCTGTCCAAGTCTTCATTCTCAGGAATAGATTCCCCTGGAAATGAAAGATCTGACCACAGCTCAGGAGATGTTACAGGCTGCATATAAGACTCCAATTCCTGTTGTAGCCAAGGCCAAAACCTCCTCAGCCCAAAATTGTGAAACATGAAGCCACAGTAGTGTTAAGTCTGGTAAGATCAGTTGTGGTAGGATCCATACCAAAAGCAGTATTGTTACATTGAACTGCAAGTTCATAATGTGGAAAAATAAAGAAAAACTTTCCACAAGAAGAATGACAACAAATGTAAAGTTGTCAAAAAGTTAGTCAGCACAAAAATGCAATGTAATGAACAAAAAACTTGTATGACTGGTATTTAGCTATGTTAGGAGGGTGTGTCACACTCCTATTGGTGGAAGATTGTCACATGCTCATTTGCATACTACATCATGTGATGTTACATGAGAGCCTTAATGCTAGTGGCGAGTGAAAATTGCACATATAGAAGGAAGCACAAATTAAGGATAGCTATTATGTGAGAAAAGGTAACCTATCGTATTGGAAAACTTTTTTCCATTATGAATTTAACTTTTTCTATCCATGACTTTAAGCCATTCCTAAGTGGTTATTAAAAAATCCTGCAGCTTAATAAAAGAATTGTTTTGAAAAATATACTAAAAGAACAACTACTTTACTTTTTTTAAAATTCAAATTAAATCTTTCAGTTAAGTACAAGAGCTCAGAATTCCTAATACGGTCAAATAACAGTTATATTTGTCTAAAGATTTTCATTATTGAAGAAATCTGTTTCTCAATTCATGAAAACAAAAAAATACAAAATTTTATTATATAATGCTTAACTTTTTTTCAGAAAGAATAACTAAGTGTTATCAAAGATTTCTTTAAATCTTTCCTCCCACACTTGGACATTTAGTTCTTATCAATTTAACTAGCAATATAATACACAAAATCATAAAAAGCCATAACATGTGTAACCTACATGCATCACAGACTTATTTTACATATGCACATATTTTCAAACAAATATTGTGTAGATATATTCCATTAAATATGAGGTGATTCAATGCTTTTTTCTCTCACATATTATCAATCACGTATAAAATATCTAACTACCTTTTGCAAACTGGATGGGTTTAGTTGGGTCTTGTCAACTATTTTAACTGCAACCTGTAAATAAATGATGTAATTTAATTTTTAACTATAACACATACTTTTCTTCTTAAATATATAAAACAAAATGTTTCAAACCTTATACAACAGTATTTTATATGGGCACAGCTTTTTCTTGTTCTGATATAAATGGCTTAAAACTATATTCACCGACAATTTATTAGAAGTCATTTAACGTCAACTCAAAATTCTATCCCATGAGTTTTTTCAATAACTATAGAAAATAAACCACATACATCACTAGACATGTTTGCAATTGAACTACAATTGTAGTACATAACTAAATATTGACCAAACCTAATAATCACAAAATTTAGTAGAGATTTCAACAGTAACTTTATTGAAGTAAAAAATATATATATGAAATTCAAAATAAAATTCAAATTTAAAATATTACATTTTATCACATAAATGTTCAAAAGGAAGCAATATTTTGTACACTGAATTCAACATTGAATAAACACTTAAGGAACTATGATTACAAATAAAGAAGCAGAGTAGGTTATATTAAAATGATGTCTCACCACATCCTGTGCACCGAGAAGAATGATGATGTTTTTAATCTATAATGGCATGTTTTCTCAGTCTAGATTAAGGTGATTTGAGATTGTTGCAGATATTAATTTGCTTTGGACACACTAAGAGCTCTCACACTGAGTAAAGATACCAGGAACTACACTTGCTTTTATACTTCAATGATAAAAGTATGAAATTGGTTGATTCAACCAACCTTAGAACTGTGACATATACAAGCTACAACTCTGAATTTACTAGGTGTATCTTCATAACATTTTGCAAGATTTTAGTAAGATTAAAATTCTGTTTTACATAAAAAATTAAATTTTTCAATAAAGTATTTCTACTAATGATTTCGTTTGTAAATTTTCAACACCTCTACCGAGTCAGGCTGAGTTCACTCAGACTGATGATTTTCATGCTAAGGAAACAAAATACTTCTTTTCATCTTAAAGTTCTCGTATTTCATTAGAGGTTATGCAAGAGCCTTCTAAATGAATATCGCATTTTTCCTTATAGAATTTTATTTCTTATTTTCTCTATCCTAACACTAACAGCATGCTTGATTCTCAGGTCTGTAGAAAAATTATCAATGTACAATAGAAAAATATGAAATAAAATGGGTAATACTATTATTTCATCTAAACTGACAAGAGTATTGTTCATAAAGTTTCAAATTACTTATCTTAACTGTTTCAACTCAACTCATATTTGTTTTACTTTAAGATTTACTACAGTACTTTGTACCCACTGGAGCAGTAATTCTCATGTCTACAAAAAAATAAATGTTTTATTTTCTGAAGTTTTGTTAGGCTAAGCTGAGAAGTTTATAATTTTCACATTATATTTACTTTTGTTGAAGAATATATGACTATACATAATATATATACATAAAAAACAAGGATTTGTAGTACTCGCTACATGAACTTGAGTACAAATCTATGCCATTTTTCCCTAAGCCTCATTGAGCCTTATACATTTAGGTGTCCAAAAAGAATTAATGTAACTTTCAGATATGCAGTGTAGAACATAAAAATATATATTGATAACTGGAATTGAATGTCCCAAAAGTTAAATTATAGTTAATTTATATGGCTTCCTAATTAAGCTGAAAATAATTTTAAAAATTTCTGTTATTGTATAGTAGCAAATATGATCCAAAAAATCAAACAACAATTTTTTATCCTAAAGCTGAACAAAGAATTGTGAGATTTATGTACTGGAGAATCCACTCTTTATAAACATGTCTGTCAGCAATGTCAAGTTGGTTAGCAAAAATCAGAGAGAGGGTTGAGCTTTCCTAGTGGATTTAACAAATTTATTGATAACTCAGCAAATGAAGAAGGTAGAAGGTTCAAATTTTAGATTCTTGCTTGTAATTATGTATAATACATGTTTTTAGTTGGGTGAAAACTGTAGTGGCCTATTTTTGAAGTTAGAAAATTCTGAAGTGGAGAAATTAAGGCTGAGATGTGTCACTTTACACGTAAAAATGAAGACTAAAAACTCTTTAAATACTTCTTTTTGAAATTAAGAAGTTAAAACTTAAACATCATAAAAGTTTGAATTATGAACTATGTTTTCTTGCCAAGTTTATTAATATATATTGATAATGAAGTTGTTTAATTAAATTTTGAATGTAACACTGTAAAATTCATGACATGTAATAAAGTATCACATCTGTACTCATAAGGTTAATTGTGTTTGTAGGTGAATAATGAATCTTTCACTGCTTCAAGCTCAGTCGAGGTTAAAAGAATTCAGATTTTTCTCTGTAAACCTTTTTCTGGCAAGCCTCCTGTTACTCATTTGTTTTTATCCAATTATTTGATTGAAAATCAACAAGTTTGAGAATACCACACATAATAAGTAAAAAAGAGAAATCTTGGTGCCATGATCATAAGATTTCATGGAGTGTCTGTTTTTCTGATCTCTTGCATTATTCCTAATTCAAGTAAATGGCATTTTCTATGAGTAAAGGACTTATAACCAGGAAGATGAGATAGGTGCTGACAAGCAATGGCTGTCAAAGAGGGTTGTTGGTGTAGGACAAGTCTTCTCTTGGACATCAGACTTTTCCCAATGCTGTGATCTCTTTTTGCTGTGGTCCCAGACCCAGGACGGTGAAGTTGTGAAATCTTGTGCAACAGCCAATCAGGTTCCCATTCTGTTATTTAGCTGAAGATAGGCTGGCAAGTCCAGGACTGAATGGAGGAGGGCTCTCTACAGGACCTCGACACATTTACTTATAAGAATAGTTCAGTCCCCACTATTCAATGACACCTGTGATCAGCTGAGAGGCTGAAGGTGCCACTGGTGAACAAGGTCAACCAGCAGGGGCTGTTTTGCTAACAGGTGAGACAGTGATCACTGGCTAATGAAGATGAAGTTGAGTTTTCCAGGCTGTGAGGAATACTACCAGGAAAACAACCATGGGTCACAAAGAAGCCTGGGGGCATACAGAGTTGATGGGTGACCTACCACTGGTAACTCACTACTCTGCAACAAAAAGACAGGAACTTAACACTTCTCAGTGTAGGGGTCCTTGAACAATTCCACTCCACTGCATAGTGAAGGTTTAAGACATCTCAGCTTGATGCTGACTGAGAATCTATGGGTAAGAGGTTTATGCTAAAACCACAAATAGCTATGGTAGTGGCTAAACTAATAACACCTCCTGACATTTAAGGGTGTGATAAATGAGGGTAGGGTCCATTTACTGAAGTGTTTCAGACATGTCACTGCCTATAACGGTTGATACTCACGTATAAGTCATGCAATGCCTGACCTTGAGTTTGGATGGTATAGCCTCGATGTTATAGAGCATTTGAGCAGGATGTAACTATGGGAATGGACAACAGTTGTAGACATGTTGCACCAATAGTTAAGCCCAGTGGAGAACTGAGCTTTGCTCATTAGACAAAGCTCGAATATTGAAGGAAAGGTCCCTCTGAGAAGTTGGCCACTTACACAGATGATGTACCAATTGAACAGAAGGACTACTTTGCAATGGCATCAGCAAATAGCAATGATATCCTCATTGTTAACTTCATTGAGACTGGGCTTGTGTTGCTATTCTAAATGGAGATCTTCCTTGACTATGTTGCACACTGTTGTCTTGGGCATGTGGGCTGCTTATGCCACTAACTTTGTTGTTCATAGATTCTCACCTGTTACACGATGCCATACTCTCCTTACCATGGCTGGTATCCCAATTTAATCCATATTTCTTTGTTTTCCAATACCATTAAGTATAAGGGATATTCACATCTTGGAAATGCTAAATCCCTGATCTAAACACATTTTTGTGATCTGAGGGTATGAATAATTAGCACTGGAAAGGGCTATTACACAATCTTCTCAAAAGGGATCAATTTTCAATGGTATTACACTATCTACAAAATACCAAACAATGTCAAAATGTAGTTGTTATACATTCCACTACACTTTATATTGGTTGTGGTTATCATGTGATTTGCAGATTTAAATATTCAATATTGTTTTAATATACTAGATCCTCTGTATGATACTATTTTTAAATTACTGGGTTATAAAAGATGGTTAAAATGCATTGTGTAATTAGTTCCATTTAATCATTACTTTATTCTTTTAACCAGAGTTGACAAAAAAAAAATTAATCATCAATGCTGTTCAGTTAATACTGCATTCCAGCCATTTTTAAATATTTATGTATAAACAAAATATTAATTGCACCTTTAATACAAAACAAATTTCATTAGGAATTTATTTACATTTCATTTCATACAGTGTTATATAATATACTAATTAAAAATTACTTAAGTTTCAGTGCTTCATTAAAGTAAAAACTATACATTTTACATTTTTATGGATTCATTCTGTCAAATAAGTAGTTTAACTGCTCCTTCTTTTTACCTGATCCACTAATGCAACTTAAGTCAAGATCTTCTAAACATGTATACACTGACTGTATTCCTATTTCATTTACCTACATTTTCTTACCTCTTTTCCTGTTGGAAGATGTTTTGCTAGTTTCACTTTTGCAAAATTTCCTTTTCCTATTGTCTTTAGAAGACGATATCTCCCCACATGGGGCTCATCAGAAGAGCGAGTATGTGAAGAAGTTGATCGAGATGGTGGAGCTGACTCTTCTCCCTGTGATTTTCAAGGTTTGTGATATATATAACAGATACAACAAAATTCTCATTTTACTGTTTAACTGCATACAAAGTAGCCAATTTTTGGACAAATCAATTATTTCAAAAAACATATCACAAAATAATGAACAGTTATCCTAAATTAAATATATACATAAAATGAAGCCAGATATTACCCAGTTGTAAATACCTGGATAGAATACATTTTTTAAAATTTGTTTTGAACATATAAAATGAGAAGTCAAATAAACCATCTTCCAATATTCAATTTTATGACTTAGAGGTTTGAAAAAAAACACATAGACAGTTAGAACCAGTGGTGGGATTCAGCCGGTTCACACCGGTTCGTGCGAACCTGTTCTTAGAATTTAATGACCTCCCCGAACAGGTTGTTATACATCCGAAGTTTGGGCCTAATAAT